GCCTGGTGGTATGAGTACTAATAATAAGGTATGCAGGGTCCTGTATAGAATATTTAGATGTTTGGACCTGTAATGGAAGATGATTGCCTGAAATTACAACAAGGTTTTAAATCCTGATATGGTTCATAGTACTATAGTTTAACCTCCTTCTGGTTTTACCCCCTTTTAGATGATCAGACAATACTTACCAGATTGGTTAGTTGGAAATAGGTACTGCAACTATAAATGTCGAGGATCACTGGATTCTGGTGACACAAATACCTTTTTTATGCTGCAAATATTATTTTCTTTATACTGTCCTTTATACTAAGGGAAGGATTTGTGATTAACATTGGGGGTAATAACACTGAAATATATTCACCCTCTCTATACTACAGTCACTGGTGCAAATTAAGTTTGTCTGATGCAATAGGAAGAGTATTATAATGAGTAGCCAGCTGTAATTGCCCAAATCTAAATGCGCAGATTTGTAAGGATGCTCTGAAACATTTGAATGCAATAGATTTTGTAACAATAAAAGGATATATGGTGGCCAATTCAGTAGTAAAATGAATGGGGAAAAGAAAATCTTTTATTGCCTTTTTGTAGCTTTGTATATTGCCTAAACATCCTTGAAATGGTGCTATTAATGACTGTTCTCTGCTTTAAAAGAATAGCATCGTCATGTGCAACTGGGAACTTTGCTAGATGTTTGGTTATCACTGAATGATCTGCCCTAAGTTTGTCGTTCTTAATCCATTAAAAGACAGGCCTGCTTGTAAATCCACAGGTATAGATAAGGAGTCACTGTTTGACTGAGTCTGAACCCTTTTCAAATGAAAAATGTCAGTGGCAGAAAGGGAGGCTGAATTATTTTTTTAAAAGGGTTTTCAAAGATTCTCATGATTCCTCCGGTATCAGTTAAATGTGACATGTCCATAGACATGCTTGCTTTTAATGTGTAGAAGCAGACAAATACGGCTGGTTTCATCTTTATGTAGAAGAAAAAGTGCCAAGATATGTGCACGTGCATATAGCTTTCCATAAGCAAAAAAGTTAAATTTACAACTAGGCCTGAACCAAAACAAGTGTATTTTTCATGAACCTTCTCACTATCCTATGGGAATTACTTCCTGTATTGGTGATTCTCTGTATCTGTTTGCAAATGGGCACAGAAACATTCACAAGGAGGTACATTCAGAGGGAAAAAGGGAATGCATTTTCTTGTTGAAACAATCAAGGAAAATTCTGTTACCCAGTTGATGGGCAGTAGATGCAGGATACCCAAAAGGAAATATTTCTTTACTAAAGTGCAGTATTCACTGCCAGAGGATGTAGTATTGACCACTGGCATGTATGGCTTTTATCTCAGTAAATTATACACCCTGTATTCTTCCCTTTACTATCATCACAAGCTGAGTGTACATTCCACACATTGGACTGAAGACGTGCATTATTATTCTACCTGAAGAGAACTCAGCCATCTAGGAAAAGCCTTTGCATTGTTTGGTCCAAATAAAGGGAAGATTGCATCTTCACGGTCCTTATCCAGGTGGATTGTTATGATCAAGCTGGTTTGCCTTGCTCCCTCAGAGTCTGCGCTTATTCCACCAGAGCACTTGGTTCCTCAGTGGCCCTCCTCAAAGGGGTTCTTTTTCTTGAGATATGTGGGCATGCTACATGATCCTTGGCCAACACCTTTGTGAAACATGTCCTAGATCTGCAAGCAGGGAAAGAGACACAAGTTGGCAAAATGTTTGTTCATTCCTTCTTCCAATAAGATAATTTGGGAGAGCTTCACCCCAAGTTTGGGATCCCCAATTTTGCAGAACTATCTGCTTTCTGTCACCATTGCCCCAATACGCAAGTTTAAGTATCTGCAGATGGGACCATGCTTGACTATTAGATAATAAGATGGAATGTAGCACAGTTAGATATTGCAAGACAATAAAGGAATGGAATTAGGGAACTCTACTCATCACTATGCTTTCACATCCCTTAAAAGCTCACCTTTTGCCTCAAAAATGTTTTGAATGCAAAAATCAAAATATACTCATATTAATTCAGTTTTGTGTTTAACACTTTTTCAGAATAAAATCTGAACATAATGCACATATATATGTACTGATTTCAGTTTACACATTGCTTTTGCATGTTCTGAAATTATTGTCTTAATGCAGGGTTTTTTTCTTCTTTTTGCTGATCCTTAGCTAACATAAACAAAGAGTGATTAACACATGGAATTCACTGCCACAGGAAGTGGTGGCGGCTACAAGCACGGACGGTTTCAAACGGGAATTAGAGGTCCATCAGTGGCTATTAGCCACAAGGTATAGATAGGGACTCTGGGGCAAGTGATGCTCTGTCTTCTTGGTGCTTGGGGGGGTCAACAGTGGGAGGGCTTCTAATGTCCTGGCCCCACTTGTGGACCTTCTGATGGCACCTGGTATTTTTGGCCACTGTGTGACAGCGTGTTGGATTGGATGGGCCTTTGGCCTGATCCAACATTGGCATCTCTTATGTTCTTAATATAGCTGTGAAAAAAGCTGTATGAGGAGTGGGCACATTTAAAGTATCTGAGAAACTATGCATAATATTTAATGGTCTATTTTTGGAATTCACAGAATCAAAACTAAGATATCTAGGGGTATAGCATGTTGAATCTGCCAAGCTCATTGGAAAAATCTATTTAAATTTCATTAATTTGAAAAGAAAGAACTCCCCAAGCAGCCTGGATATTAGAGCTGATTCAAACAGTGACCAAACAGCACAAATAACTGCTCAATCAGGCAAGAGGGATGATTATGCAGTTCTCATCCAAATTCTTTCCAGTTTATGGAGTTGCAAGTTACCTGGTTTTGTTTCCAGAGTGGAACCAATGTAACAGTTCTAGTTTTTATTTCTGTATTTTGTACATAGCAGTGTGCATATATGGTTAGCTTCAGCTTTCAGAAATTTATTTACAGCTCCTACCTATATGTTACTAATGGGCACGTGCACATTGATAAAACACTGTAAAAAGTATGATCTCAATGCAATTGTACATATGATTGTATCAAGATATTTTCTTGTGTTTTACCAGTGCAGTAGAACAGATGGGAGCTTTAGTACACACTGCAGAAAATGAATTGCAGCACAATAATATATATAATTGCATCAATGGCTTTTTTCCTAGTGTTTTGCCATTATGTGCGGCATATTAGTACGGTGGAAAATGGAAAGTAAAGGGTATTAGGCTCTTTTCTGATATCATCCAGGGTGTTAATGCTGGGAGAAGTGTCAGCTGAATATGTCCTTATTTAAAACAACTCTTACAACATTGTTTACATTGGATTCATATTTTGTTAGTTTGCCACAAAGAACCGTTCTTGCAATTACTATCCATACTGTAGTTCTCAGATGATATTCTAGAATACTTCGGCCCCAGTCACACTGGGGGAAATAGGTGCAGCCAAAGTGCGGCTTTTTTGAGCCACACCAAAAGAGATGTGCGGCGGCGGGATCAGACAGATCCTCCCAGCCGCCGCGCAGGTCCTCCCTGTCACGATCAGATGCCGGGAGGAAGTCACTGACCAGAGAGCAAGGCCAGCCCGCTGCGCATGCGTGTTCATGCGCAGTTCGGCAGGACCTCGCATGCTGCGGGAGAGACGGGCGCGCCGGCGTTCAGACGGCCATCCCTGCAGTGGATTTTCAGGTAGGTAGTAGTGTTTTCTAGGGTTTTTTTTTTTTTGATGCGTAGTTTTGCCCGGAAGGGACGGTTCGGGGACGGGTGCGCGCTGCTTCCCAGATGTTGCGGTGTGATCGCGCCCGCTTGATGCGCCCCCGATCCGTCCCTCACGCTGGCAAATCCTCCTGTGTGACCGGGGCCTTCTTTGTTTAAAAAGATAACATTTCCTCTAAAGATGATTCACTTTTCTGGGTTTGAATCTAAAACACAAACAGACTGCTTTTGAGGAAACTAGATTTTGATATTTTTATGTTTTTATTTTTTTGCTGCTAACAGAGTGTATAGGTTTCCCTGCCAGTTATAATTGTCAACACTCCTCTGATATGTTTATGTTGATGAATTTGTGCCACAGCTGATTATTGCCTGAAGGCTAAGTGTGAGAAGCTACTTGTATGCGAAAACAAAATCAGCTAGTTAAAATGAAATAGATAAAGTCTATATGAAAAGTACAAACTAGTTAACTTAGGGCCATTTCTGTGTGGCCTTTGTGATGTGGGAAATCTTCCAGTGAATGCCTTTATGCCATTTCAGTAACTTTAGGATGATGATGTAAAACTAACCCATGATGCAATTTGTTTACATGGCAGTATTGTCCCAGTTTTTGGGATGTGAAATAATGGTCATGTTGCCTGCTTCTCCCACATGAAGTCAGATGTCTGGCTTTTCCAGACCTGTGCAAGAAGGACATGCTCCACTGCAGGTCCCACATTGTTTTCAGCTCTACTGACTGTAAGATTTAGTGTTAAACCAGAATTGAAGGAAGCAGTAGTCATAACTATTTTCTCTTCCATAACTATTTCCTTTTAAGGTTTCTACAAATTACATCAGGCATGGTCTACATGTTTTCAGTGAACTTCACAGTTGTGTGGTTTATAAACCTGATGTCTAGATACAGGCAGTTGGGTGAATTGGAGCTCATTTGCCACTCACAAACTAGGATTCTAGATGGGACTAAACCAAAATTTAGTATCCTAGTTTGTGGGGGGACAACAAAAATTCCAATTTCCCATGACACTTGCATTCAGACTTGATGCGGGAACTGGAATTTGTTTCAAGGTATGTCAAACCCCAAAGCCTTAATTTAGTTCTGTAAGCAAAGGGAGAAGAAAGGAGAGGAGCATATCAGTACAACAAACCATTTGTATCCATTGCAGCAAATCTCAGTTTAAGTACAGCTGTTTGTGTCTGAGTGCACCCATGCAAACATTGTTGACAGAAATAAAATGTAAAAGTAGAGGTGTTCGTTGTGTGGCATAAGTGGAAGTGTTTTAAACTCATTTTCTTTGTTTCTCAGGAGAGTTGGAGGTGTTTCAGAGGGATGGAGAACGGAGGATCCAGAGTCGGCAGCAGCTTCCGGTTGGAACAACATGGGGACCATTTGCTGGGAAGATGGATTTGAATAACAACACGTTGGTATGTTAAAAGAGATTGAATGTTGAAGCAATGTTAGCTTTTCTTTAAGAGTTGCCATTTGTTTTTAAAAATAAAAACGTCCAGGGAAGAAAATAGGAAAGACAGTGGGGAAATGCTGTATTTAAATTTCATGGTCAGTGCTGTTTTTTACTTTTGCATTTGGATCATGTACAAATGTCGTAACCAGTCTACTGCTGTGGGCAACATACCCAGATTCAGACCAGAGATGGGATCTTTCTCACCCCTAGTGTCCCTGCTGTGCATTGCTAGAAATGGAACTGGGGGCTTGACCAGGTTGCCAGATCCAAATATTGAGCTATCCGCTGTGCCTGAATCATAGCAGGTAGAAAACACTGCTTTGTTGACCATGAAAAGCCAGAAGTCAGGTATCTAGTATTGATACCAGCTTTAGCAAACCCAGACTCTTCATACTGACTGCCAAATGCAATGTTGTACAGCCCTATTCTCTTCTATGTCTGTGATGTCACTATAGGCCCCGGTCACACTGGGGGAAATAGGCGCGGCCAAAGATCCCCCCAGCCACCGCGCAGGTCCTTCCTGGCAAGATCAGATGCCGGGAGGAAGCCATGGACTGGAGAGCGAGGCTAGCCCGCCGCGCATGCATGTGCATGTGCAGTTCGGCAAAACCTCGCATGCTGCGGGAGAGATGGGCACGTCAGCAATCAGACGGCCATCCCTGCAGCGGATTTTCAGGTAGATAGTAGTGTTTTCTAGGGGTTTTTTTTGATGCACAGTTTTGCCCGGAAGGGACGGATCGGGGACGGGTGCGTTCCACTTCCCAGATGTTGCGGTGTGATCGTGCCCGCTTGATGCACCCCCGATCCGTCCCTCTCACGTGGCAACTCCTCCTGTGTGACCGGGGCCATAGTATCATAACTTTATCACACCACTTTGACCTGATTTAAGCTGATGTAGAGGATTTAGTTGTGATGGTGTAATCATTGATAGTGAGCATTCTCTTTCATCAGGTGATATTTCTTCAAAAGCAGGAGTTACTAAAACCCTAGCATTGCTAGAAACCAATATTCAAAATAGTTCTCCAGTCTCTAAAAATCATGAAATGATCTTCGAAACTATGGGATATAAAATTAAAATATATGCATGGCTCTAACATATTTTGGAAATAAATCCATATTTTCAAAGTTATCTCTGAAAAAGTATAATTTTGAATCATAGAACAAATGATAGGAATCAGAAAGAATTCTTTAAAGTCCAATTCTATACAAAGTTATGTTGGCCTAAGGAAATTAAAATCAGTAGATTTGGGCTAGAATATTTCTGCATAGAGTTTCACTGTTAATTAATAAAAAATGGGACGATGCTGTTCGTAGGGTACCAGCTCCTTTCTTTTGATGGAAGAAAATAACATTTAAATTTAGCAATTTAATTTTCATCTGATATTTCGTACCTCTTAATTGCTGGTGTTTTCAGTGCTATACTCAGTAATGTTAGGAGTGGTAGCAATTTGATAATTTTGTTTTTCTTTTTTTACAAAGAGATCACCCACTCTTTCACTTTAATCAGAATCAAATAAATTGTGAATGCTGAATAGTCCTTTTAAATTGGTTCATATTCCAAGTAGTATTATGAGTGAGTTTAAACTTGTGGTTGTTGGCTCAGGGGAGCCAGCAGACTAATTAATTCAGCACAGTAATTAATTGAGTCACTGTGCCAGATGTCAAACACTTTTTAGATCTTTCAAGTTCCTATCTTGAATTATGTTAACAATATACATCTCAAAACACTGAGAGGTTGGGTACGTTGAATAAACTGATTGAAGTGTCATTTGTCACTGCAACAACAGCAACAGACACTTGGTCCAATTCAGCCAGCAATGATGAAGAATTGTGAAGGCAGTTAGCCAAAGACCTGGACTCCATTAACCTAAGCAGGGTATGCTAACATGAGGTCAGTGAGTGGAAGCTCTAGCAGATGAACTCAGGAGGAGATGTGCCAAATATTTCTGATTCATAAATTAGTCAAGATTCACACTTACATAATAACAGTGGCAGAATGCTGGTGTCATTTTGCATTGTTTCCATTGATAGAATTTCATTAAAAGCCTTGAATACTTTTCCATTTCACAAATTAATATTCTACTCAAGCTGGAATGGAAAGTTTTTGTCTACAAGGCATTCCCTGGTACTTTATTTAGCCCTTTATTTCCCCTTTCCCTTATATGCTCCCTTCCTTTTTTATACTGTTCAAGGCTTAAGAGTAATACATAAGAATGTAAGAAGAGCCCTGCTGGATCAGACCAGTGGTCCATCTAGTCCAGCATCCTGTCACACACAGTAGCCAACCAGTTGCTCTGGAGGGCCAGCAACAAGGAATAGAGGCCAACACCTTTCCCTGATGTTGCCTCCTGGCTCTGGGATTCAGAGGTTTAGTGCCTCTGAATGTGGAGGTTCCCCTCAGTCACCATGGCTAGTAGCCACTGATAGAGCTATCCTCCACGAATCTATCTTATCAAGCTGTCTATTCCTGTGGCCATTACTACACCCTCTGGCAGTGAATTCCATGTTTTAATCACTCTCTGTGTAAAAAAGGGAGTATTTTTGGCTGTCCTCCTGAATCTACTTCCATCAGCCTCATTGAATGCCCTTGAGTTCTAGTATTTTGGGAGAGGGAGAAAAATTTCCCTTTGTCCACTTTCTCCACCCCATGCACAGTTTTATAAATCTCTATCATGTCCCCACCCTAGTTGCCTCTTTTCTGAACTGAAAAGTTCCAGGCTCTTCAGCCTTTCCAATCCCCTAATCATCTTGGTTGCCCTCTTCTGTGTGGTTTCCGGCTCTGTGATGTCCTTTTTGAGATACGGTGACCAGAACTGTACACAGTATTCCAAATGAGATCACACCATAGATTCAGGGCATTATAATATTGGTTGTTTTATTTTCAATCCCTTTCCTAGTAATCCTTAACAAAGAGTTTGCTTTTTTCACTGCTGCAGCACACTGGGCTGACACTTTCATTGAATTATCCACTATAATCCCAAAATATTTTACCCTCTCATTCTCAGCAAGTTCAGACCCTATTAGCATATACTTGAAGTTGGGATTTTTTTTGTCCCAATGTGCATCATTTTACACTTACCAAAACTGAGCATCATTTGACACATTGTCACCTACTCACCCAGTTTGTGGAGATCTTTTTGGAGCTCTCACAGTCAGCCTTGGTTTTTACCATCCTAAATAATTTTGTGTCATCTGCAAACTTGACCTTTACACTACTCAACTTTAGTTCCAGATAATTCGTGAATAAATTTAATTGTACTGGCCCCAATAGCGATCTTTGTGGGCCCCACTGCTTACGTCCTTCCATTGTAAGAACTGTCCATTGATTCCTACTCTTTGCTTCCTCTCATATGACCAATTTTTAATACATAAGAGAACCTATGTTCTTATCTTATGACTTATAAGTTTACTCAGGAGTCTTTGGTGAGGTATCTTATCAAAAGCCTTTTGTAAGTCCAAGTATATTAAAATGTCTACCAGGTCACTGTTGTCTGCATGCTTGTTCACTTTCTCAAAGAACTCCAAAAGGTTGGTGAAGCAGGTCTTTCCTTTGCAGAAGCCATGTTGACTTTCCTTCAGCAGGCTTTATTCCGCTATGTGTCTAATAATTCTATCTTTGATTACGGTATCTACTGCTTTTCCTAAGACAGATGCTATGCTGACTGGCCTGTGATTTCCTGCTTCCCCTGTGGACCCCTTTTTAAGAATTAGTGTAACATTTGCTACTCTCCAGTCTTCTGGTAAAGCAGCTGAATTTAGTGGTAGGTTACCTATACTGGTTAGTAGATCAACTGTTTCACATTTGAGTTCTCTAAGAACTTGGTTGTATGCCATCAGGACCTGGAAATTTAATTCCCCCAATAGGTCTAGAGCTTCATTTCTTATCACCTCAATTTAACTCAGTTATTCAGACTCCCTTCTTGAAAACAGGGTGTGTGGCATGGGTACATATCCCACACTTTCTACAGTGAACACAGAAGGGAAAAAAAGTCATTGACCTTTTCTGCCATTTCCCCATCTTTCTTTAGCAATCCCTTTATTCCTTTGCATCCAAAGGCCCCACTGCTTCTCTGTCTGGTTTCCTGCTCTGTATAGATTTAAAGAAATGTTTGTTTGTCTCAATGCTTTTAGCAACCGCCTCCTCCTAATTATTGATTTACATTTCTTGATTAAGCAACAAAAAGTGGGGAAGGCACCTGGCCCTGACCTAATACCAGTGGAACTGTTTGAAATCGACCCAAACTGGTGGGCACATATTCTGGTCTTAGTTTTTACAGATATTAATAAGACAGGATAATTGTCCCGATTTATAAAAGGGGACACCTGATAGATCCAACAAATTATAGTCCTATAAGCTTGTTGTCCACCATTGGAAAACTTTATGCTGCAATGCTGTTTGGAAAGCTTAGATCCTGGGTCGAAGAAAATAATATTCTTGGGAATGAGCAGGCTGGCTACAGGAAAGGAGCAAGTACTATTGAACATTGTCTCACATTCCAGTACTTAGTAGATAAATATACGAGCTCTAGAGAAGGTATATTGACAGTTGCCTTTATGGGTCTTAAATCAGCATTTGATACAATCTCCAGACCCCAATTATGGGTAAAGCTGAAGAAGTATGGCATTGAATCTCATCTCCTTTATTTAATACAACAGCTTTATAGCTGTCCAGCCGCCCGGGTCAGGAGTGGGAAGCTGGGCCAGTTATCTGGGGTACTCTCCTTAAACACAGGTGTTATACAGGTATGTATTCTTGCATCCCTATTATTCAATTTATATATTAACAATCTCAGATCGTGCCTTTTGAGGAATTATTTCCATCTCCCACATTTATCTAAATGCGAAATTCCGATTTTTTAATTTGCAGACGATGCAGTGCTATTGTGAGACTTTGCAAACTGATTAAAATTTTTGAGGACTAGTGTAATTACAAGGGGGAGACCCGCGATACTCGCGGGGGGG